GTTTAATGTTTATCAGTACATTACAGAAAATAATGAACTTTATCACAATATGCTAATTTTTTGAGAAGGACCTGTAATTGTGTGTTGCTTTGACTCATTCATACATGTTTGAGAAATCTTCAAATCTCCTGAGGTAGCCATTAGGGGTGCACCAAAAAATCATTTTACATCAGAATCGTGATTCTCATTTATAAAGATTCAGAATCAATATAAAATGTCCCAAAATCGATTATTATAAATAAAAAAATAATGCAAATCCAATGGCTGTCAGCCTCCATTTTGTCCTGACGCCATCATGCAGCTGCTTCTGGAACATATGAATGTGCAGAAAGCACCAAAACAAAGAGGAAACTAAAGAACTGGAGGAAAGAGAGATTCAACTGGCCCTGTCTTCATTGAATGTTAAGATTTGGGCTCATTTTGTTTTTTTACTGAACGAGTCTGAGTTTGACATGAGCGAGGTGTGCAAGTGTTGCAAAACGTAGATGAAGCACTTTGGGAACACGACAAATGAGCTCACATTTTCAGTTTTGAATGAAAAATCGATTTTGAATTGAATTGTGGCCCCAAAAATCAGAATCGAATCGAATCGTGAGAGAGTAAAAGATTCCCACCCCTAGCAGCCATGTGGAGCTGTCTAAACACTTGCTGACCTGGTTTCAGATCTCTGGAAGACCAGTTTCCCAGTTCCTGCTGATGAATAACGTCCCCACAGCATGATGCTGCCACCACCGTGCTTCTCTGTGGGGATGATGTTCGCAGCACGACAAGACGAGTTAGATTTGAGTTAAAATGGTTCTTGTTGGCCAAAAACTACAATGTGCTCAACTTTCCACAACTTTGGAGTTTTAAATATGTCTTTTGGCAAATTCCAAGTGGTTTGCTTTATTTTTTTCCTCTTAAAACAACTTTTTCTGGCCACTCTTCACYGACGTCCAGCTTTGTGCAGTTTATGGTGGTCCCATAGACAGTTCCTCTCCTTTCTACAGAATATTGCAGATAGTGAATACTTCTGTAACCAATCTATTTGTTTATTAGCAGCATGAYGGCTCAGTGGTTAGCACTGATCCCTTGTTTGGACCTGGGGTCTTTCTGTACAGAGTTCGCATGATGTGGGTTTTCTCCGGGTACTCTGGTTTCCCCCACAGACCAAAAACATATATGTTAGGCTCAGAGTTGTAAAGTAAYGAAGTACRAATACTTTTGAAGGAAATTTTGTAAGTGAATATTAGATGCAGTATTGTATTTTATACTTTCTGATCATTGCAGCTTTAAGGCCTTAACAGAGAGCTGGTGTGTGTTTTATCATGTGTYCTTTCTTTRGCCKAAACAAGAATGAGTTAGGTTCTGACGTCTGACGTAAAAGGTAACACCTCCAGGGATGTAACCAGGAAGAGATGTACATTATAAGGTCAATTCATTATTATAGTAGAAGGAAGTTGTCGGTGTGTTGGAGAGTCTCTGGTTAGATCCAGCCTGGATTGACTGGGCTGCTTTGTTTGGGTTTTCTTGATATGAGCTCAAGGCCTTACGCTGAGGTCTGACTGCTGTACTGCTGTGTGAACCTGATTGGAGTCAG